TCGCAGGCTACTTTTTCTGTGAAGAATCAAGACATTTTAAATGATGATGCATTGCATTTTAAGCTCGCAAGATCTGTCTTGAAGATCGCATCATTTGAAGTATTTTAACTCCACTTTCATGAATTTAAAAAATGCTAGGCTAGTTTTGAATGCGAAAAGCGAAATCTTCGTGTTCACGTCAGTGATTGTTTTGTGATAAACAAAATATAGTTCACCTTGTCGCTTATATTTATATGCTTATAAGTAATGAAGAAATATCTAAAATTGAGAAAACATACCTTTAAAAACAACTGCAACTTTCTCTAGTCCCTGACAGACAAGCCATTGTTCGACAAACACCTCGTCTTTCCCGATGAACTCATCCATGGCATTTTCCAGAACACGTGTGTCGAATGCTCGGGGGTCGCCCCGGGGTACGCAAATGCCCAGCCCCCGGGCGGCGATAAAATTGCGGATGCCCCACCCTCGGGACTGACAACGTGAGCAAATGTCCCGCGGTTGCCCGGGAGGAGGATGGGCACGGCTGGAATTGACTGATGCATAAGTTCTAGTAACAAGAACAACAAAGGAGCGGTTATTATCACCTGCATCTACAACTGTTCATTACCTCCTTGGTTGGGATTTGCCAAGTCCATGGACAACTGCAACCACTGCATGATACAGCTCTCGTTATTTTCAGCAATTTCAACAAACGGCTGCTTCAAAGACTCGTAATGAGCGGACGTCATGCTTCGGGCGTGGTTACGCAACTCGTCTTCATCTAGTACGTCTTCGCGACATCTCTGTAACCCATACAATGACTCGTCCACCGTTGACCGGGTGTCGTTCAGTTTCTTACGAGCACTGCTAATGGCATATCTGATGTCATCGGGAACTTCTTCGTCCTGTCGAGCAGAGTTAGAAAGATATTGTCTAAAATAAACAGAATGCTTGACAGCTATTTACGTTAGGTAAACTGGAAAACTCTTTTCGATACCCGAGGTAGTTTTATAAATAAAAAAAAAGAATGCTTATTTTCCTTATCATCACAGAGTTACTTGTAAATAATTGTCTGCTATGGTTGGTTAGTGGACAGTTTAATATTTGTCTTAGTCCACAACAATTCAACCCACTATGCGCGCCCAGTTCCCACCAAAACGTTTTTTTATAACTCTTCTACATCCAAGACAGTCACTGAGCTGAAGAGTTAAGACTTGTACTACTCCACACACGTATAGAAAAAGATAACTGTTATCCACCTAGTTTATCAGCTTGTAATTTGGTTTACCACTGCTCGTTTTAAAACGTTTTCTTATACAAGTCCTGCACATTTTCACATTTTTTCTTCAAATCCGCACAGACGTCGATGCCACGAAAACTGGAAGTGGTGTTGCATTTTTGCGTTTGACCGAAAGTTGTCACGCGTTGAGTAGGCCCAATTTCCAGTCATTTAGTGAACCCGCGCTCCTTGCCGCACTCGGACATTGTGAGAAAGATGATTGATAACCAGCTCTACAAACCGGGACGAAAATCAGACTTGGTGTTTTAGCTCTTTAAAACATCCGTTGGTTCACATCGATTTAACTCCTTGAAATGGAGACAAGAAAACAGATAACAGTGATATGTTACTCTTGGTTAACAACCACTGCCCTCGGAAGATCTACTCCAAATTCAATACCTACCACGGCTGCGAAAAACAAGCAAAACCATTACTATGTTTTCGTGTATATCTCACATATTCCTGCGGAAATTGAAATACTGAATGAATTTACTAAAGCTAAGAACACTATCGTTCTCCAAGAATTAGGTAAGAACAATAGTAGCGTGCGCAGTGATAAAGGGCTCGTAATATAAAATTAATAAATGGTACACATAGTTAGTTGTGACAATGTGAATAATCACGGACGCATACAAAGGGAACTAAAACACCGAGGAATCTCAATCTGAAGACTACGCCTTTTGCATGTAAAAATGTCAACTCGTTTTAGCCTTCGATCAATCCAGGACGTTTGACCAAAATTTTTCTTTTTGAAAACATAGTACATTTTCAGTAGCGAACGAATGTAGCGAGCAAAGGGAGGCTCCCGTTAGTTGGAACGACACGTAACCCAGTTGAATTGTTTCAGGTCTAACAAACTTTTCCGATAAGAGTCTTTCCTACCAAATGTTTTAAAAGAGCTTAGGACAAGAATGGCGCAAAGGACTACGATCCATAATGTAACTAACGCCTCTTTTATTCAGGAATTGGTCGTCATTTCTCCATTCTCAGTGAATTCTTGTTTGGGAAGATCGCTGTCCGGAGTGAACGTTATCAAAATTTGCTGGTGAACTAAACCTGATACATTTTGTGTTTCAATTCCGACAGACTGCACTCTTTCATAGTCTCACTCTGACTTCTCCCTCCAACTCGCACAATTCCGTCGGGATGGAACTGATGGATTCCTTCCAGAAACTGATCAAGGGCGTGGTTTGTGTAGCAGACAACAAGGATTGGGCGATGCCCAGAAGAGGCTCGTTGGCCAAACCGATAGGTGTTAAACCGAAACGCTCTACCACTGTCCCACTTCTCCTTGTTATGCAGTAAAACATTGGCAATCTGCAAGAAAAAAATTCGTCCTGTCTTTGTTTTGCTAACATGCCAAGTTTTAAAGAACATTTGATCATCTTTCTCCAACAGCTACTCCAAAACTGGCAAAGTTACGAAAAGGATCCATAGAATCAATCTACCTTCAAACCAATGTACGTCTTTCCAGTCCCCGGCGGTCCTTGAATGACAGCGAATTCTTTGGTCAGCGCCATCTGAAGCGCTTTGAACTGAGAGTCATCTAGACCCAGATCTTCCGCAGACGGCCAGGAGACCAGGTTCAGGAGTGGAATATTTGTTCCTTCGATAGAAATAAAGTGTTAGCGGTGTTAGCTGAAGAGATCAGAAACTAACCATTGAAGAAGGTGATCTCGAGGACAACGCCCAGTATTTTAGGAGTAGGGCCATTTTTGTGACCTTTAATCTGAGAGTAAATCAACTCTAATGGTGGAGAACATATAACACTCAACACACGCTAAAACTTAAAATTACCTTTTCCAACCGCGTCTTTCATGCCCAAGCCGAGTGAACGCCGTAATTTCAGCCTTTGTAGCGGCGTTGCAGTGCTATAGAGAGAATTGAACAAAACCATTTACGTGTAGGCTGGTTTCCTTTTGATCGCTTCTATATTTGAGAAAAAAAAAACAGCGATCGTTGCCATGCAAATGGGAACAACTCTTAAACGAGCGATCATGGATAACGTTCACTGAGATAAACCTCAGATCTACCTCAACGATTGTAGAGACTGAAGTCAACGTTGCGATCATATGGAAACCACTCTCGAGAGATTGCAGCAATGGTTGCGATGACAAATATACCAGAATGCAGGGCGTTCTTATTTCATCCGATTCCTCTCCGACATTTTTTATTCTGTGCATCATATGGAAACTGCCAGTCGTAAGGATCACTCAATTTTTTGCCAGAGCGATAGCAACGATCAGAGCAATTTCGTAAGAATCGTAAAAATATAAAGCGACATAACCTGCGTAGCTGGCGGTTTTGGTGTGGTTTTTCAGTGGGGTTTCGTGTCGCGGAACGTGAGCGAAGCCGTGACATTCTTCTCGCGGCACGGTCTTCGCGGCTCGTTCCGCACTATGAAAGTCGAAACCGCCAGCTACTAATAAGATGTCTAGTAAGATATATGTACACCTCATACACACGGATATCTCGCCAGCTGTGCAATGAGGTAGATATATATCTTACTAGACATGTCAACATGTACAGCATGTCCAAGAGCACAATATAGTCGATCACAATTTCTTCAATTTTTGCTTGTTATACCTAGCAGTAGGAGTCCAGTGTGGATTCTTCATGATGGGTGTCAGATCAAAGGTTCCGTGTTGGTTTACATAGGCAGGAGGTTCCACTTCTTTCTGGCAATTTACAATGTACTTCTGTTTTGATAGAACCACATCATACAGATGTTAAATTAGGGTTGGAGGAGCGTTTTCTTTATAAATCTAAGTAGATTTCAGAGCAATTTCTAACAATAGTTGAAATTAGTAAAGCGAAAGGTTCACGCATGATGATCAAAGGCACTTTGCACAATACATAGTAAAAAACGAAAAATAAACACTAGCTGTTCCTTTTAACTTGTGTAACTAACGGCTCTAGTTGTGCGATGGTGCACCAGGGTTTTGTTCAGGGAAAGCGTGATGGATACGAAGGCCAACAAAATCACAATGTTTTCAACTGTGTAGATCATCAACGATTGATTCGTACAGTCTCTTACCTCAATACACATAAGGAGGCTCAATGTAAATAAACGACCGAATAATGTACTGCGGGAAATTGGTTATAAAAATGGCATTGACATGTCACCTGGAAGGGCAGTTCTGCTGGATCAATTTCCCTCAGGCCCTCCAGCACATGACGATAAGCTTCAAAGAAGGCAGTACTCTCTACCATCTGGTACACGTCACCTTCTTCAAGTCTTGCTTGATCGTATAGACGTATAACCTGAATGTTCAGTATTCCCTAGACAGGAACAATTGCCACTATTTTACACCCACATAGTAAGCAGATAGGGTAGTAAGAGCTAATAAAAGTTGCATTGTCATTTTCAGAAGAAAAGACAAAAAAACGTTTAGAAAATTCACAAAACTGCTCCCCTAAGTGATCATTTAAGACGAACTCCAAGTGGAAATTTTGCCGTTCGCAAAGAAACGTAAAGTTTTGAAATCTCTTTATTTCTCAAAGCAGGATTAAGGTAATCCAGGAAAAACATTAATTTACTTTGATTCTCATTCAAGGTTTCTAACTTTTCAGGGTCCAGTTGAACCCACCTGGCTACCTGCGTGTTGATTATGCGTAAAAGATCGTCGAATTAACTCGTGTGGACAAAAGCAAATTGCAGGCGTTTGCAGACGCAGATGTACACGTAGTGCACAGCCCTGAGCCTTGCTGACTTTTTACGCTGGATTAGTGTTAATCTGCTTTTCGAACAACTCGGTCCTCTTCACTCGTGTTAAAGACCGGTATAACTTATTTCGTAAAGATGTCACTATTGATCGGGAACACACCGTCGTCATGAGGAAGGAAATCTGCCGCCTCTCTCCAATCTTTCCACCCTTTTCTTGCATATCAACCTGCGTAGCTGACGATTTCTCTTGGGTCTCGTTCGCCAGCTACTACTACTTGCATATCCTCGAGCGCTTTCAAGAGAAAACAAAAGAAGCCTTCTGTAGGGGAGAGAGGGCCTGCAATGATCACCCACTAAATGCTAAACAAACCTTCATCAAAATGAATAATGTTCAGAACTTACCCAGCTTATGTCCCACAGCTCTCGATCGGCCACAGTGGCAAGGACAAAACTATTAAAGTTGTCCTTGGACAAACAAATCAGTGAGCCGAAGATGAGCCGTTTGCTGTTCTCCCAGCTTACATGCCTGAGTCTGGAGTTGTCAAACTTGATCCGGTAGCGGATGCCGTTGGAGGTACATACAGGATACAACAACCGAACATTACTGTACACACGTATGTCTTGTAAGGACTGTAGTGCACCAATCCTAGTGGACCCCATACGCTCCAGCAACTGCGCGATCCCCTCACGGAGGGGCCGCACAAAGTCTTCACGAAGGAGTCGAAATTGTACGTCCAAATAATGTTCCGCATCGTTGTAGCTCCCATCAATTTTGTTCCTTCTGAGAAAGGGCCGTCCTTCAGACAAGATGTCTTCCTGAGTTGGAACAACAGAGAGCCAGCGGAAACTATCGGGTGGATCAACATCATCGTTCATCTCAGCTAAAAAGTACAGAGATATTTCATCACTGCACGAATAGATGAGAAATACAAAGAATGGAAATGTTTCTTATCTATCTCACCATCTCTGCGAGGCTGCCTTCTTTTCTGACGTTCTTCATCTTCCTTTCTCTTCAGCTCCTCGGCCTTCTCGGATCTCAATTTCATTAGTTCATCTACCTCTGTGACGAGGGCACCATCAACCAACTGTCCCGTGTCAGACAGCCTTTTTGTTCCACAGTACAGGTCGGGCACCGGAAGATCAGCATAACAGCTCGGGAATCTTCGGAGCAATTCGCTCATTATCTTGACAACATTTTTCAAAAACACTGCGACGTCACAAGGAGGTAAGCTGTTAGCAGATAGCATGTTTAAATATGGTCTGAGTTGCAAATTGAGAAACGACGACCCTCGTAACAGGTTGAGTAGCTTTAACAGGTCCTCCTTAGAGCTGCAGTCACAGGCTTTCGTAACAATGCTAACGATCAAGACAATCCAGTGATCTTCCATTACTGACTGCTGTTTTAATAAATACTCTGTGGCTGGGAAACATCGACTCGATGTTAAGTGGAGGATTATTTCGTCCGAGGTTTTGGTTTCAAGGGCTTGAAGTTCCCCGAATCCTAGCTTAAGCTCAGGTTGGTTTCTCGGAGTTCCGCCGCCACCACGACCCCTTCTACCCCCTCTTCCGCGGCCTCTTCCACCGCCCCTCCCACGGCCTCTTCCACCCCCACTTCCTCTGCCTCTTTGGCCTCGCCAGTCGTCCATTGACAGCACCTCTGAAACAAAATAGAGTTTAAAGAATGAAAAAAATGATTATGAGAATTTTTAATTGGCTGTGAGGCTGTAAAACGCCTTTGCTCCGCTACATGTATAATTATATAAATTTTAGAAAAATGTTGATGACAAAGAATCTAGTCTGATTTAGTTGCCCGAGAACGGCATCGTTCACTTCAATCAAAATCTTCCCGATCAAAGTCCAGGACTCTATGCAGCTGAAAAACCTATGAAGCCTCCACTCTTCACTCATTTGTTAATTTCAAACACTACTCCTCGTTTCTACTCCCTGTCGCTAGTTCCCGTTTGTAGGGAATCCTGTGCTATTGATTTAGTTGGTTTGCAAATGCAGCCGAACCAATTTAAAGAGTTCTATGCATTAACTTGTGAAGAAAATCAATCTACAGCTGAGGAATCAGATTTACGAAGCGTTCCAAACTAGAATCTGAAAACAATTTTGCCAAAAGCCTGGACAGCATCTGATCATTGCCAAAACTCTGCATTTTTAAATGGTGAGACAGCTATGAATGCAACTTTGCATTGAAGCATGACTGATGAGTGTGTTATTGAATTCCACGGTATGCCGAAGTCGCATAGTATAGAACGCGTAAAAGGTCGAAAACAGCATTTAAAAGGACCAGATAGGTATATGTCACATATCAATTCAATTCACCGCAGTTCCGAAGTATGGTCACCAGGTATTTCAGTGTTGTACTAATCAGCACACAAGAGAGATGTGTGTAGGAAAAAAGCTGTCTCTGGCTCGACTCCAAAGGTCATTAAGGAGTATTTTAACGAAGAAACTGGTTGCTGGGACACTGTCTGGTTTTTACTTTCTTTGGACGACGTGGACTATTCATAGGGACTTGTACCGGCATATTAAGCCGATTCGATTCGGTAGGAAAAGTAGCAGAGAAAAAACTTTCCCCGTAGCGACGAGAAACTCGAGGGGATCTCGACGACGATGGGAAGTTGCAATATCGTTGGTAATGGTGGAGTGTTCCGTTAATAATTACTCACGAATTTCATTTTCAGCTTGTAATTTCAAAGTAATTCGAGTTAAATAACTTCCAAAAACCAGTGTAATTTTGACTACCTACCCACAATCACTCTCTTTCCAGCGAGTCATATCATAAATCGGTTACGTTCTACACGAGCAAACAATTAGTCCTGATTTCCCAGTTGCACTCTCGGCCTCTAGTGATGTTTTTCATCTGGCCTTAATTCCCAATGACAGAGAGTTGATATATATTCGCGCCTAACTTGGACTTGTACAAAATACGTGCAAAATATGTCACATTTCGCAAAGAAAACAGCGATACAAGTTAACTTATGTTCCATAAATGAACAATGCGTCGTATCTTAAGTCTAAGGACTACATCTTAGCAGCAACTTAGCTCAAACAAACACCAGCTTAGTTACTCTGTGGGCACCTACTGCAACTGAGGACGTTTCTGTTAACAATTCTATCCGGCACTGGACAGTTCATTCACAAGTGAAAGATTAGTGGACCTCTGTGCAACTTTTCCTCAATGGCCACCATTTTTTGGAGAAACATTATTCGCTTTTGATTTATTTCCTATTTATACCTCTTTTCTTCTCTCTAGCTAGCCTAGACTTAAGACACCGCGCTGAGAGGTGAATGACTATTTAATTAACGAATCCGCTAACAGTAAATATAAGATGTAGTATTTTAAATATCAGTTACAGTGATTCATTATTAAAGTTGAGCTAGGTTACCTCAAATGTCCAAGGAGGAAGCCAGATGCCGGCGGTGCTCTGTTTTCGGCGTAACTTGCAAGGGCTTGTCGATAACAAAGTTATTCCTCAATCATCGCATACCTCGGCTACGTAATAATCTACGTAAAAAACTGGTTTCCAAATGCAGAAAGGAACACTTTTCGAGCAAGTGAAGGAAAATATGCTGGGGCAAGTGTCTAAGATACTTAAACTTAATATGGGTCGTGAGCCAATCAAATCACAGGCAGAATTTCTTAGAAACCAAAAGGTCATTTCCGGAAATCAGGGGCTTCAAAAAAAACACGGAGGACGTTAAATTATCAATAAAAACTACAAAATACCTTCGCAATAAAACACCTCGTTCTTTTTTCGCCGGGTTCAAATTGAACACAATGATATCAAGATAGACTAGTTGTTATTTTGAAGGGGTAGNTTTTGTGAGCATAGATTTCTGTTATTAAATTAAATTGCCTGAAACAAGCTCTGGAGGTTTTAAATAACCCGATCAAAACAGATAAAAAGACAACAGTTTCATTATTATGCATCTACGTTTATTCTTAAAGCAATAAGATTCAGAAATCAAAGTTTATTCCGTATCGGGAACTCAGATTTTCAAGTCAAAATTCTCAGAAAGACTAAAGTCATTTCCGGGAAATCAAGTTCCTCTACGTCACCTCGTCACCAGGTCCTTCTCGACTTTGCTTTCATCTTCAAAATCAGTGCAAATTCGAATGTTAAGCATAACCTAGATCAAATGAAAACGAAGCTTACATAATCGAAGACTGTAATGGTTTCACCCCAATATCTGGAAAGCATTTTACGTATAACTACGTTTTTGTAGGATGAATCTCTATCAGTAGAGTTAAGCCCTTGTCACAGTGGACTAAGTAGCCCAGAATTAGGCCGTATCCCCTCCCTACACACTTCATGGTGACTCCTTAGTGAAATTAAACTTTAAAAATGAAAACAATAAAAACTTTTCGAGGGCATTTAACGCCTCTAAAGCCTCAATCTAAGCTGTCAGAAAAGGGAAAGAACGACTCAATACGCAGTCCGGCAAAATTAAAATTAAATGGGTTAAATCCCAGTTTAAAAATCTAAAGAATAGGATCAGCTTTAACCGCTGTCTTAACTAAATCAGCCTCGAATTTTAAGCTGTTATGATTCTATCGCTCGGGAAGAACTAAGGCATTGGACTGAAAAGTAGCCTTACTTCCCTGACACTTTACGGTCACCTCCCCTTCCCCCCCCCCCC